CATCATGAGAAGAGAGGACTCTTTGGAAAAGACAATAATGCTGGGAAGACGGAGGGAAGTAGAAAGGGAGGAAGGCCGCATGGCCAATGGATGGACTCTATTATTCAGGAGGTCCATTTATTAAGCGTTTGCAGGATTTGAGCAGAGCAGGGGAGGAGAGAGGGTCTTCTTGGAGAGGTCTCATCCATAGGGTTGCCATGAGTTGGGATCGACTCCAGGGCAGTTAACAACACAACAACCACAAACCGCAGAGCCCTTGGTTTGGATTGGGACTGCAGCAACATGGGGTGAGTAAGGGGTTTGAGTCCTCCCAACCTTGGTAGTAGGGCTCAATTCCAATCAGTTGTTGTCATGTGCCTTCAAGTTGTTTCTAACTTATGGCAACCCCTATCATGGAGTTTTCTTTCCAAGATTTGTTCGGAGGGTTTTTTCCCTTTGCCTCCCTCTGAGGCTGAGAGAGTGTGACATACCCAAAATCATCCAGTGAGCTTTCATGGCTGAGTGGACATTTGAACCCTGGTCTCCCAACTCATAGTCCAACACATAAACTATACCACACAGGCTGCAAATCCATGCATATGCACACAAATGCCTGCAAACGGATCTTGCAGCAGCTATAATCTATATTTCTGTGGATTTCTGCAGAGGTCTGGTGTAGAGATTATTGTTTAGGAAGCGTGGCATAGTGGTTCGAGTGTTGGACTACGACTCTGGAGACCAGGGTTTGATTCCCAGCCCAACCATAAAACCCACTGGGTGACCTTGGGTGAGTCACACTCTCTCAGCCTCAGTAGATGACAACGGCAAACCTTCTCTGAACAAATCTTCCCAAGAAAACCCGAAGTTAGGGTCTCTGTAAGTTGAAATGACTTGAAGGCACACAACAACAACAACAAAGAGGAAAAGGAGGCGAGTTTTAAAACAATGTACCAAAGTCACAATCATCCCAGCCTTGGTATTTCCAATTTCCTGGCCATGAAAGTGTGTTTTTTAGGCTTCCTTTAACATTCTCCCAAGGCCAAGGGTGCATCTGCACTGTAGAAATAATGCAGTTTTGACACCACTTTAACTACCATGGTTCCATCCCACAGGATCCTGGGATCTGTAGTTTGGTGAAGCAACAGCACTTTTTTGCAGAGAAAGCTGAAGTCCCTGTAAAACTGCAAACCATTCCAGAGGATGGAGCTATGGCACTTAAAGAGAGCCAGCATGGCTAGTGGTTTGAGTGTTGGACTATGACTCTGGAGAACAGGGTTCGAATCCTGGCTCGGCCGTGGAGTTTAGAAAGTTTTAAGCCCAGATCCTAGAGAGCCAGCATAGCATAGTGGTTTGAGTATTGGACTACAGCTCTGAAGATAAGGGTTTGATTCTCTGCTCGGCCATAGAACACACTGGTTGACTTTGGGCAAGTCACACTCTCTCAGCCTCAGAGGATGGCAATGGCGAACCCCCTCTGAAGAAACCTGCCAAGAAAACCCTGTGCTCCGGTCGCTTTAGTTGGAAACGACTTCAAGGCACATGAGAACAGCAGCACTTAAAGTGGTGTCAAACTGCATTATTTCTACAGTGTAGATGCACCCCTGATACCACTAAAAAAAATCCATCCTTTCAGCTTGAAGACTATAAGGAGGAAAAGAGGGTCTGCAGTGGGCATAAAAATACTTTGATAAAGGGAGCTTCTGTACCAGGGACTTTGTGAACTGAAGTTTTCCTTTTAAAGCAAAAGTAAGAGGAGAAATTGGAGCACAGCGAAGAATATAATATGTTTGTGTGAAGACAAGGTCACCTAGTGCTAGCCTGCTAATTGCCTTTAAATCTCCCTTTTTTGGGGTCAGATGGTCTTATGTTACATCTCAAATACTCCTCAAGCTTTTGAAGCAGCTTGACATTTTGGAAAGTTTTGAGCTGCAAATTTGCAGCTGTGAAAAAGCTCTCCTCTGCAAGGAGAGCCTTGTTTCACCAGGTTTAATGCAGCTCCAGAAGAAGAAGGAAAAGAAAAGGTTTGCCGTTGCCATCAGATTGCAATATATTTAACATTGAACATAATATTAATTCAGGACCCAGTTCTAAGTGTAGGCTGAAAGCAGGATGATTCAAAGGTTTGATCTTACCTTGCTTTAAGATTCAAGTATAGCTGTCTTTTCCACCCCCAATATTGTCATTGTAAATTCAGACTTGTTACCAGGGATGTATGTGTTGGCAAGATCAAAAACACAAAGATCAAAATCAGCATTGCCTCCTGTCGTGTGTTTGCAAGAGACGAAGGGCCTCGATCGAGGATAGCTAGCTTTGCTTGCTGTTTGTTGCACGATTCCTTTTGCAGGAGTGCAGATTAGTGCAATTGCAGGTGCTGAGGAAGATCTTGGCCTCGGTGCTTTGGTCAGACCTTACCTAGAACCCCTGCGTCCAGTTTCTGGGCACCACAATTCAAGAATGATATTAACAAACGGAGCGTGTCCAGAGGAGGGTGACTTCATCCTGGAGAGAAGTGACCAGTGGGGCGTCCAGTGGGGCTCTGTCCTGGGCCCAGTTTCTAATTCAACATCTTTATCAATGACTTGGATGAAATAATAGAAGGCATGCTTATCAAATTTGCTGATGACACCAAATTAGGAGGAATAGCTAATACCCCAGAAGACAGGCTGAAAATTCAAAATGGCCTTAATAGGTTAGAAAGTTGGGCCAGAGCTAACAAAATGAATTTCAACACAGAGAAATGTCAGGTACTGAACTTAGGGCAAAAAAGTGAAATGCATAAATATAAGATGGGGGACACCTGGCTTAACGAGACTCATACGTGTGAAAGGGATCTAGGAGTCCTAGTAGATTAGAGGTTGAACATGAGTCAAGAGTGTGATGCTGCAGCTAAAAAGGCCAATGTGATTCTAGGCTGCATCAAGAGAAGTATAGTGTCTAGATCAAGGGAAGTAATAGTGTCACTCTATTCTGCTTTGGTCAGGCCTCACCTGGAATAATCCTGTGTCCAATTCTGGGTACCACAATTCAAAAAGGAGGTTGAAAAACTGGAGCGTGTCCAGAGAAGGCAACCAAAATATGGTGAAGGGTCTGGAAACCACAATGAGGAGAGACTTAGGGAGCCAAGTATGTTTAGCATGGAGAAAAGACATTTAAGAGGTGACATGATAGCCCTGTATAAGTGTTTGAAGGGATATTGAGGATGGAGCAAGCTTGTTTTCTGCTGCTCCAGAGAATAGGATCCAAAAGCAAAGCAAAGCAAAGCAGCTTATTTATATACCGCTTCATATCATGCTATGGGATGTCTAAGCGGTTTACAACTGTGAGCTGATTGCCCCCCAACAAGCTGGGTACTCATTTTAGCGACCTCGGAAGGATGCAGGCCTGAGTCGAGCCTCAGCCCTGGCTGGTATTGAACTCGCAACCTTGTGGTCTATGAGTGAGTGGCTGCAGTACAGGATCCAGAGCAATGGATGCAAGCTACAGGAAAAGAGATTCCAGATCAACATTAGGAGGAACTTCCTGACATTAAGAGCTGTTTGACATTGGAAGATGCAGCCTTGGAGAGTGGAGGAGTCTCCTTCTTTGGAGGTTTCTAAACAGAGGCTGGTGCCTTGATTTGAGTATTCCTGCCTAACAGAATGGGGTTTGAGTGGATGGACTTTGGGGGTCTCTTCCAACACTAGGATTCTTGCTACAGAAATTGAAATAATAGGAAAAGTGGAAATGGATGAGCTTTTCATGTTATTTCTTGTACCATCTTTTCTGTTAAAGATGTGGTACACAGGGACACATGTAGTATTTTGTTAAGTGAAGTATACCTGTATTTGGCCATGATGGTGAAAGATACTCTTAAAATCCATCTTCCTTGGGAGCAGATGCCATGCTTTTTTCCAGGAGGGGGGGAAATAGACTGTGTTGTTAATAATAATAATAATAATAATAATAATAATAATAATAATAATAATAATAATATCCTCTGCACAGGCCTATTTAGAATACTGATTTCTTTTGTGCTCTCTCTTATGAATCCTTTTTGAATTTTAGCTGAAAGGAGCTGTCCAAGGTGCCAATGTCCCAGATGGGTTCAGGTCACCTTGGATGCTTCCTTTAGAGTTCAAACTGAAACCCAGAGTGGACATACGCACCCCAAAAAGTTATCCACAAAGTAGCAGAGATTTTAAAAGTATGCAGCATCCGCTACTGCTGCTTATCTTTTCAGTGGACTGGTTTGTGCAAGGCAGGAACTTTTCCCCTCTTTGAAAACACATAGAACAAACCTGGGGGAAAGTTAAAAAAACCTAAATTGTTGGTGTGAGTTTGGATATGTCAGCCCTTAGGATCCAGAACAGACTGGACCAGGGTGCTTTCCTACCCTGTATGTTGTGATGATCCTCTCTCTGGATCAGTGGTTTATTGCTGAGTGCTGTTGAATTGACTTTGTGGCTTCTTTTCTTGCTGTTCAGGACGTCTGCTGCATTTCCCATTGCAGAGGATGGCCGCTTGCTGATCCAGGCAGAAGTTCAACACGTTAAGGGAGTGATTCTCAGCAGACCGAATGGCTGCGGCAAACAAGGGTAAGTGGAGTGCTAACCGAGGTTGGTACCTCCATCATCCTGTTGACCCAAGCACCCTTTGAGCATCCTGTGTCAGACCTTTGAGTTGTTCAGCTTTCTGGGGCTGCATATGCACTGCAGAAAGAATCCAGTTTGACATCACATTAACTGTCATGGCTCAATGCTGTGGGATTTGTAGATTTGTGGGATATTTAGCCTTCTCTGTCAGAGTGCTCTGGTGCCACAACAAACTACAACTCCCAGGATTCCATAGCATTGAGCCATGACAGTTAAAGTGAACTAAAATGACATGAATGAAAAATTATTTTTGCACTTTGGATGCAGCCTGGGTCACCAAAGGCTTGTTTGGAGGCTGCAGTTCAGAGCTTAAATAATTTTGCGCATGAAACAAAATGTGTGCACACTGAACCATCAGGAAGCAAAGGTGTCACTATCTCAGCCACCCATGTGGACAATTTTGGATTTTGGAGTATTTCAGATTTTGGAAATCCAGATAAGGGATACTCAGACTGTACCAAAATGACAGTAGAAATACGTAGATACAGTTGTCTCTTGGTATCTGCTGAAGTTTGGTTCTAGAACTCTCCTCTGGATACCTTAATCCATGGATGTTCAAGGCTCACTCGATACAATGGCATAGTAAAATGTTATCCCTTATATACAGTGGCAAAATCAAGGTTTGCTTTTTGGAAATTATATATTTTAAAAATATTTTCAAGTCATGGATGGTTGAATTTGTAGATATGGAGGGGTGACTGTATATTGAAAATATGCTTA